GGGGTGGGGCTTCTCTGTGACAGATTCCCAACTGCCCTTATATGGCACTCCCAGGTGTCACACCACGGTCACCCAGGTGCCACAGGGGTTTAGAGAAATAGATTGCTCTTGAAATTGAGAAGTTTTCTTCATCTCAGACTCCAGGCCAAGTTAGAGCATTCTCCTACCCAGAGAGAGACAGAGAGAAAGAGAGGAAAGGAGGGAAGGAGAACACAATTCACGAGGTCCCTTCATCAGACTGAAGTGGGGCAAATGCTCAACAAGCAGAGGTGATATTCTCTTGCTGGATATCTGGAGAACATTCACTCATCTACAGGGAACTGAGCCAATGGCTTCCCTCTTTATGTCAACACTGGCACAAAAATAATCCTTGTTATTAAGGCTCATGAGAGTTCCGTGTTATCAAGCTGTGGTCACAAAAGATTTCTGGCAGTCACCCTGCCTTCTTCTTCCTTCTTTTTGTAAATCACATTTGATTTTGCTTTCACAATATTCTTCCCTGGTGAAAATCTGCAGTTGCACACGTGGACTTAAATCAGCTAGATAATTGAGTTTTAACAAAACAGGCTTTGGACAGCGCCAAACCAATCAATGACCTAGCTTCAAGGTGTACTTTGGAATCATTTGTCTGGGTTAATTCTAGCAAAAACAACAGAATCCAAACATATTTCATGAAAGTTAATAAAGAACTCAGAGTGGGTATATTCCTGTACCAGAGAGCCAACCAAAACAGAAAATGAAATGAGACAAAGACACATGAAACCCAGCCTCGCTTAAAAAAAAAAAAGAAAGAAAGAAAGAAAAAAAATCTCATGATTCTGCTCTTGACCCCCCTATCTTTCCCACATCATTGTAGGATCTGCATTGTTGCAGACCCTATGGATTTGGCCTCCCATTCCCTGCCATAAATTTGGTCTTCCTACCAGAAGACTTTCCTTCCTTCTTCTGGTAGGAAGACCAAATTTATGGCCCTGACTACCTTAGATATAATGTTTACATATCCTCTGGTTTTCCAATCTTTGGTGATTTCCAATAACTACCCCACCTGAACTAGCTCCCTTCAGTCTCTGGCGATCACCTCCCTGATCGAATCACTGTGAAGCCACAGTCCAGCCTGTAAGTTTACCACTTAGCCCTGACATGGAATGAATAAAGCTGCTTAAACTAGTGTAGACCTTAGGTTCCACAAGCTATGTGAATTACCTATAGGGCAAGGTAACATCGTGGCATATTCAAATCTAGTATTTGGATCCTGATTCTCAGCCAAGAAGTACCTCCATCCATTCCCACTAAATGCCCATTGTGATTTCTGGACATCACAGACTTTGCTAGGATATATGCATAACCTATAGGCCACAGAACATTTTGCCCCAAGTCAGCCATGGCTGACTTAACCACGTCATCTCTCAAGAAAGCCCTCAGAGAGCCTTACACAGAACACATTTGAAAGCCTGGCACCAACTCTTCCATGCCACCTCTGCCTCTATTCTAACCCAAGGCATTTTGCCAGGTGGTGTTGGAAGAGATATTCCATATGCAGGATCGTTTTGCATGGTCAACCCTGAGAAGGAAAATTGGAAACTGTAGGAGCCACTTAGAAAAGCAGACCTAATTGGGAGACCTGAAATGTGGCCAGGTCACCTGGCTTCACATGCCATTCCCGAGGTTCAAGGATTTTGGCTTCACTCTCATCCAACTGGCACCAGCTCACAGAACACAGGCCACTTACTAGCAAATCAAGGAACAGATTTACTCTTCCTGCCCCCTAAGAGGAACGGCCGCACCTGAACAAACTTGCAAGGTTAGGCTCACTATGCAGTTTATGAAAACCTTCCCTGGCCCCTGCTCCTAACAAAGGCCAGAGACAAATCTAACCCAAGTTTTCTGGCGTCTGGCCCACTGCCCCATGTGACAGCTCTTTGCACCTAGTTTACTAACCCTCATCATTTAGCTGTCTCAACAGGGCCTGATTCAAGGACAGGAAAGAGAAGTTCTCACATATCTCTCGTTGCATCTATGCTGGTTTCTTCTGCACCTGGGATCTCCTTGGGGGCCTCTTAATCGAAGTCTGACTAAGCCTGACCTTGCCTTGGTTTACGAGGGTAATGAAATCACAGCCCCAGGTGGGCCGGCTGCAGGTGCACTTGGGCGGCCATTCGGAGCCTTGTTATTTCTGTAATTTGTCACATGCTGTCTCCTGCTTGGGGTTGTGCTTTACGGACTAAAGAATGCATTCTCTTATTAAGGCACATCTTGTCCATGCCAATCCAATTAAATCTATAAAATTAGCCTGGAAACTTTAGAGATGTGGGCTGTGATGTAGTTGTTTTCCTTTTCTTTCTCTCTTTCTTTGTGTCTGTTGTAAGTTGTTGCATTAAGACTCATGATTTGGGAAGCAAAGAAGGTGGTGGAAAGAACAGCTAGTTAGATGTCGGAAGACCTAGGTTTTATTCCGGTTCTGCTGTGCGATCTTGGGCAAGTCCCTTCTCCTTGTGGGTGTTGGTCCCTTGATAATAAAATTAATGGTTTGGACACTTTAGTTGGGATCATACCTTCCATTTACTGAGTTTCCCGACTGCATTCCAGACATCTGCATAAAAAGTCTGCAGGGTGGATGCAACGTTGTCAATTGGGGAAATACAGTCACTAGACGTCAGTGATTTACCCAATGTCAGACAGTGAAGATGGCGATATGGCCCCAAAACCCATCCGTATGCTTCTTAAATCGATAACCTACACTCTGAATCTTGGGAACATTTGGAAGCAGCTGAGTTAATATCAGTTCACAAGGCTGAGTTCTACTCGTAGCTCCATTATGAACTCCGAGGCCCTAGACGAGTGCATCATCTCACTGCCAACCACCTTCACAGCAGATCTTGTGCTCTTACTCAGTTCTCAGAGAATTCAGGTTAACTCTTCTAAAACAAAGACATCAGGAAAACTAAAACAGAACAAACTTTGTTATCTTTTTATCTAAAGGTAGAGGTGAAAAATAAGTCATTTCTCTGGACACAATAGATAAACACTGGTCCCAAACATGAACCTCACCAAGCACTATGTTTCACCAGTGTGTGTGAAGCAGTTTGTTCAATGAAAAATGTGATCAGAAGTAAGTTGAGGTGGGAATGTGAATGGGTACGGGCACTGTAAAAAGCAATATGGAGGATCCTCAAAAGATTAAACATAAAACTACCATATGACCCAGCAACCTCACTTCTGGGTATAGATCCAAAGGTAACAAAAACACTAACTTGAAAATTTAGTGTACCCCAATATTCATAATAGCATTATTTACAAGAGCCAAGACATGGAAATAAACCAAGTGCCCATTGATGGATAAATGGATAACAAAATTTGTATATATATGTGTATATTATACACACACACACACACACACACACACACACACAGTGGAATACTACTCAGCCATAAAAATTTAGGGAATCCTACCATTTTTGACAACACGGCTTGACCCTGAAGGCATTATGCTAAGTGAAATAAACCAGGCAGAGAAGGACAAATAATATGTGATTCCACTTATATGTGGAAACAAACAACCAAACCCACAGAAAAAGAGGTCAGACTTGTGGTTACCAGATGCAGAGGGTAGGGGAAAGGGAATTAGAGAAAAGGAGTCAAAAGATAACAGTTTCCAATTATAAGATAAATCAGTACTAGGGCTGTGATGTATAACATAATGACTGTAGCAAATACTGCCGTATGATGTACAAGGAAGTTGCTGAGAGATTCACCTTACTAAGAGTTCTCATCATGAGAATTTTTCCCCCTTTATTCTTCTTTCTTTTCTTTTTTTTGTATCAACATGAGAAGATGGATGTTGGCTGAACCCATCGTGGTAATCATTTCACAAGATATACGTAAACCAAGCCACCATGCTGTACCCTTTAAGCTTACTAAGTGATGTATGCCAAACATTTCTCAATAAAACTAGAAAAAAATTGTTGATTAATTGAATCAAGAGGGTAAATACTCTGAGCAAAAGACAGCCACAATATTTAAATTTTTGCAGTTATCTAGGAAATTATCCTTTCCTAATATATATAAAATACAAATTCTATAGGCTATCAATAGTGCCACACACTTATTCCTTTTCAATAGCTGTGAACAACGATCACTTTGTTTTGCAAAATGTGGATGAATAAATCTGATAAAGACAATCTTCCTGTGGGACTTTAGATAATCAATATCTTGGATAAAGTCTGCATATCTTTTATTTTATTATTATTTTATTTTATTATTATTCAGTTTTATTAATAAACTGAAATACCAATAAAAAGTCATCACAGGCTCACAATGTACATCATAAAACCTTACTAAATTAGGAAATGCTACTTTGGTCGGTGTGCAGATTAAACAAGGATGAAAAGGCATTTAGCTTTGTTTTATAGTTTGCCAAGCAAAGGGATAACAGAAACAAAATTTCAGAGGGAAATGTTTAAGCAACTTACAATAATTATTTTCAAGTATTATAATAGCTTTCATTTGCATAAAAATAATTAAATTCTGATTTTAAAAACTTCTTTATTCATTAAATCAAGGATGCATTGTTAGAATTTAGGATTATCATTACTGTAGTTTTGTGAAGTATTAAAACTGTATTTCATTTAAATATCCTATAATTCTGATTACTCACTAATTTACATAGAGAATCTTCCAGGTCACCCAAAATAGTGATGTGGAATGATAAGAGGTAGACTACATTTTATAAAACTAATTTGACAATGAAAAATGTACTAATTGAAATTACTAGACTGTGCTGTTTCAGACTACTTCTGTTGAATTTTTCTGCCAAAGTAAATATAGTTTCTGATTTTGAAAAATATATTTCTATTACATTCATTAACAAGGTGATATTCATCATTAATATTTTCTTAATTTTTTCATGTTTATTTCTTTTCAGAGACACAGAACATGCATGAGTGGGGGAAGGACAGAGAGAGAGAAGGAAAGAGAATCCTAAACAAGCTCCATACTGTCAGCACAGAGCCTACATGGTGCTCAATTCCACAAACTGTGAGTTCATGACCAGATCCAAAATCAAGAGTCAGACGCTTAACCAACTGAGCCACTCAGGTGCCCCTCATCATTAATATTTAGAATTTAGGCATGAACTTTCACTTTCTAGATTTCCTTAAAATAAGTCAAACGTGCTTATGAGGAAAAAAGGAAGAAAAGGAGGGAAAGAAGGAAGGTGGGAAGGAGGAAGGAAGAAAAAAGAAAGAAAGAGCACATAGAGAACGTAACCTATATTCTTCATGAAAAGTACATTTTCCTGGTGGGTTCCCAATAGCAAATCAAAATCCAATGCAGTATCTAATAAAATTATGAAAGTCTTTGCTAGTGTAGAAACCAATTCTTCCATTTTCAGAGACATAAAAACTGAATATTTCAGTAATTATTTGTCCAAAAATCTAATTCAAATAGTAAGTTATCATTACTTGGAGAAAACAAGAAATCAATTCTTGGTAGAGCATGTACCTCCTTATATAAAAAAATAAATAAATAAAAATAAAACCTCAACATTTCTTTAATTCTTTACTGTGGTAAAAAAAAAAGAGAGAGAGAGAGAGAGCGAGAAAAGGGCAAGAAAAAAATTCAGATCAATGATTTATAAAAGCACCACCCATATCAAGAAATAGAATGTTACCAACACCACAGAAGCCCCCATTTATTGAATGCCAATAAGTGCCCAGTGTATGTTCCCCAAAGATAATTAACATATTTATTTTTTAAGTAACACTTGTTGTTTCTTAAGAGTTGATCACCCAAAGCATGCTGTTGCCTGTTTTTTGAACTTCATTTTAATGGACTTATATAGTATATATTATCGTATACCTAACTTCTTTAATAAAAATATATTTGTGTAATGTCTTCATGTTGTAAAGAATTTTGTTCACTTTAATTACATTGTATGCATATATAGTAGGTGTGTAATTATACCATGACTTACCAGTCTCCTCTTGATGAACACTGGTCAGAGCCATTTGCAAACTTGGGCTTTTACAATAATATTGCAATAAACATTTTTATGTGTGTCTTGTGTACCTTGGTATGCATTTGTATGTTAGGATATGTCTTGGAGTAGAATTGCTGAATCATAGGATTTGCCTATCCTAACTTTAATAAATAGTGGTGGGGCACCTGGGTGGCTCAGTGGGTTGATCATCGGACTTTGGCCCAGGTCATGATTTCACTGCTCGTGGGTTTGAGCCCCGCATCAGGCTCTGTGCTGACAGCTCAGAGACTGGAGCCTGCTTCAGATGCTGTGTCTCCCCCTCTCTCTGCCCCTCCCCTGCTCATGCTCCATCTCTCTCTGTTTCTCAGTAATAAATAAGTGTGAACAAAAAAAATTTTTTAATAAATATCGGTAAAAGGTTTTCCAAAATGGTTATTCCAATCTAACTCCTACCTACAATGACTAAGTGTTCTACTTGCCCCATGTGCTTTCTAATACTTTCTGTTATCTGTCTTTTACATGTTTACCTTTCTAGTGGCTGTGTAATGGGATCTTGTGCTTTTAATGAGTGTTTTCCTGGTAACTAATGAGATTGGGAAGCTTCTCACACATTACTGGCCATTTGGAAGTCTCCAGTACTCCTGGAATTAATTTTTATATGTGCTCTAAGATAGGAATCACATTTCATTTTTTTCCATCTGGACACCCAATTACCTTGACAGCTTTTACCAAAAAGACTACCCTTTCTCCACCGTTCCAAAGTGCCATTTTTATCATGAATCATTTGCCATATACATATGGGTCTCCTTTTTTATACTATTAGTGGTGTTGTCTAACCACGGACCTTTGCACCTATATTTTAATGTCTCAAATTGCCATATATTGCAACGATTCTTCCATTTGTTGTTCTTCTTTAAGTGTGTTTTGGCTGTTTGGAAGTATTAGCTTGTCAAATTCCACTGCAAAACATCAAAATACAACCTGGTATGATTTTGAGTGGGATTGTATTGATTTTGGGTCAGCGATCCAGACAGTTTAGGAACCATTAGAAGCTGAGCTATAGTGAAGAGCTGACTACTTTCAGTTCATCACTTTTTTTTCTAATGTTTATTTATTTTGAGAGACAGAGTGTGTGAGTAAGATAGGGGCAGAGAGAGAGAGAGAGAGAGAGAGAGAGATGGGGAGAGAGAGAGAGAATCCCAAACCGGCTCCGCACTATCAGCACAGAGTCCGACTCAGGGCTTGAACTCACAAACCGGGAAATCATGACCTCAGCCAAAACCAAGTCGGATACTTAACCAAGCCATCCAGGTGCCCCTCCAGCTCATAACTCTTTAAATTCTCTTGAAAGTGTCTCATAATTGTGTAGAAATCCTAAACGTCATGCATTGGATTTATTCCAACGTATTTCATCTTTTAATACATGTAGATTATATCTTGCAATACTTATTTTTCCTTTTCAGTTTGTTGCTATAATATAGAAATGCAACTTCTATATTGATCTTCCATTTAGCAAATGTGCTAAACTCATTAATCTTATTAAATCTTATCACTTATCCCCAGCAAGATTGTCAAAAGGCTAAGGGGCTTCCCACCTACAACTGTGAAAGGGGTCCCGAATGGTGGCCTCACCTCTCTGGGCCTCAGTCTCTGAAGTTCTGGCCCTCACTGTCTTGTCAACTCCTTCAAGCAAATATTTAAAAAAAAAATTCAGCTTTTTTTTTCTTGCCCTCAGTAAAATGGTTGGTTTGAATTACCTAATCTTCCATTACTAAAATTAACCTCCAAGTTTCTTCATTTGACAATACATAATTCAAATGTAAATGCGGAAAGATTCTTCCCATTAAACTACTCTTAAACTCTCCCTTCGGTCTAAAAAGTTTATTAAATTAGAATTAGAAGATGGGGTTGGGGGCAATGAAGAATATTGTCAAAACATTCTTTTAAAGTTAGTTTCTATAGTATTTGTAACGGATTAAATGGAGAAACTCATTACATAAAAGAAAACTATGTTTCCCCTTTCGTGACATAGGCATTATTGTAATTAACAAAAACAAAACAATTGTGTTAATGAAAACCATAAATGTCAACCAATGAAGGCTTATTTGTTCCGAATTAAAACTGCCATTCTTATATATGGATATAGGTGCCAATGATTCAATAGCTATATGGTTTTGGTTTTGATTTTGGTTTGTGTGTCTCTTTACCACCTTAGACATGGAATTTGGTCTGATTTTTATTTCTTAAAAGTATTCATTTTTATTGTTTGTAGTTCTACCAAAATACACATTGCTATTACATTAACAGCAGAATAGTTCAATAATATGCATAAACACACTCAAGAGATTAGGAGGAATCTTACTGTATTTATTTTCCTTCATGGCTTGGGTCACTTAACTCAGATTTTCAATGCCAGAAGGGCAATTCAATTTATGTGAATATTTCTGAGAAGGACAGTAATTACATAGCCAGATTTTACCTGAGAAAATATGTAGAAAATTCGATATTGTTAGCTTTATCTAGATACATCTTGAAATGCTCAAAACACAGCTGGACTCTTCAGATAAAGCCAGGAGAGTAAATAGATAGTTTTAAGGGACATTTCATTATAAAGAAAATAAGAAATTTTCAAAAGTCATTTTTTTTGCCATGCCCTACTATTATAGAATGTGCCAAAGCTCTGAAATTAATTTTCAAAAGAATCACAATATAAACATTTATTGACAAATAGGAGTCTAGTAGGCCTTTCCTTTAAAGTCAAAGAAATTTTGATAAATTGCCTTAGGTGAAAGGAGCTGAAGAAATAAATATAAGCTGTATAAAGAGTAGATACAGAAGTGAGAAGGATCAATAACTGTGGTCAAGGACTGGTAAATGGCTGATGTGCCTAATATAATGGCTGGAGGAGGGGAGGTTAAACAAGATACCCAACTAGAGGAAATTATGGGCAGATAATGGGATCATTGAATCAGATCTCATAAAGGTGAGGCAGTAGTGGAGGCTGACCTGGGCCAAGATATGATGAGGGGAGGAAGGATGAGTGGGGGGAAGATACACCCTGGAAGTGAGGAGGTCAAAAAAATGAGATGTCATGGTGTGAATTAACCACTTGGAAACTGAAATAACCCGCGATCAGGCCAGGGATGGGGGGAGAAGGAAATATTTTGAGTCAGGTGCCAAAACATCTTTGATCAGCAAGAGAAGACAGCAAGAAACTTGGAAAACAGGGGTGCCTGGGTGGCTTAGTTGGTTAAGCGTCCAACTTCTGCTCAGGTCATGATCTCACGGTTCATGAGTTTGAGGCCCATGTTGGGTTTTGTGCTGACAGCTCAGAGCCTGGAGCCTGCTTCAGATTCTGTGTCTCCCTCTCTCTCTGACCCTCCCCTGCTCACACACTCTCTGTCTCTCAAAAATAAATAAACATTTTTACAAAAAGAAAGTTGGAAAACAAACAAGCAAAAACAATAAATCTAGGAAGAGGGTAGATAACTCAATAGCATAAGCCCCCAAAAATAAGGAATTAAAGTTTCATTTCTATTTTTCCACAAAGGTGAAGAGCGATGGTCTAGAGTGGAAAGATATGTTTCTAATAAAATAAAAAGTATCTGAAGTTTAGGCAAACCATCCCAAAGTGAGTACTACTTGGGGAAGCGCTATCTGGACCAAAACAGTTTCCTCAACAATAACATGGTAGAAAAGATCGCTACTTTACCAACCTACTGACTTTAAAGAAAGCCACAAAAACTGTCCCACTGCCAACAGTGAGCAGGTCGATTGCATAACATAAGATTACCTCTTACATCAGCAATAATAGAAGAGAACAAATCTGATGTCATCGCACATATTTGCCGAGCTAGATTTTCAACTGTCTGTTAGAGTCAAAAATGTATAAGTGGAAGTTTTATCTATGGAAACAAGCTGTGTGTCCAGATGGGACCCCACAGGGGCGAACTGCCTTAGCAAGATCACATTCTTTCAGCAATATTTATTAAACACCCATCACATTCCTGGCATTGGGCTAGGCACTGGGGATCCAAGTGTGTTAATCTCTAGCAGTGTTGGGGATAGTTCTTCGCTTTGCTGGAAGTCCGTATTTCCAGTCCTTTTTCGGTCTCTCCGTAGAATATAGCAAATTAGCATTTAGTAATTAGAAGAAAGGTTAATGAACCGAGAAGCTGAACAGAAAAGATTGAAGGTCTTTTAGGGTCTTTCTTCTAATCCAGATGTCAACAAGCTATGCCCCACCTGTCTTTATATGGCCAAAGAAGTCTAAAATGTTTACTATCTGGATTTTATAGAATAATGTTACCTACCCCTGATCTACACCGTAGCAAAGCCTGATGAAATATATAGGTTCCATATCTCTTGCTTTCAGTATCCTGAATTTGGGCAAGATTGGATAAATGGTGTCAACAAATTCTAGATTTGGTGATTTCCTTCCCAAGTGTCCCAGAAACAAATTTTTGTTATTAGTCACCTAGTAACTCTTCGACTGTAGTAATGTCATTAATTGTCATTTTTCTTGGGCAATTTAGATTTCACTGGATTTCCAAGCCAATTCTATCTTTGAACTAAATAAGTATCCTATTCTTTCAGAGGGCTTCTGTAGATACTGCATCTCACGGACCATGAATACTATAGTCTAACTTAGGGATTGGTGAACATTTTGTGTGAAGAGCTAAATGGTAAATATTTTGGGGTTTTTCAGGCCTGATAATGTCTTTTGAAACCACTCAACTCTGTCAAAACCACTGAACCTTGTCACTGTAATGGGAAAGAAGATGTAGAAAATTTGAAAATGAATGAGGCAGGTGTGTTCCGATAAAACCTTATTTACAAAAACGGGAGGTGAGCTGGGGTTGGTCCTTTGGGCCATAGCTTGTCAAAGCCTGATCTCATTTGTTCTTATATGTTCCAATTCAAGTCTCATTAATCTCTGTTTATTTTCATTTTCTCCTATATCCACTTCACAAGTGAGGCAAATATCATTGTCTCTCTTATCTCAGAATAAGCTGTATATTTGGATAATCTAATCAATCAACTGATATAATTTTTGGGAGAAAAATGAACCCGTCCGATAGGCAGACATAATGGAACCTCAGAACTGCTTTTTCATTTTCCAGTAACTATAGTAGCCTTCAATTTAACCCCAAAGAGCTGTGAGTGTTCAAGTACAGCCCTCAGGCAAGCAACTTCTCCTACCTGTATTTCCGCTTAGACTCTTACGGAACCTGGCTTGAAAGGAAGTCTCTGTGTGAGACGGTTCATGTTTTCACTGACACTTTCCTCTATTGTCTTTGAGGAGAGCTTCTCCCTGCAAATCTGAGGATGCCACCTTCTACCTGGAAAGCAAGGCTGGTCACAATGCCCCTGAGTACTGTTCCCTGTGGGTAACAACGCTAACTGTTTAAACAAATGGGTCACCCGACTAAAATGAGGTCAATAAAATCTTCTGAGGCACTTTCCTTTTTGATGGATGAACTGAAATAAAAGCCATTTCAGAGCCTACTTTCAGCAGAATAATGAATTCTGTGTTTCCAATCACTGAGGTTGAAATTATAACAAATAGCATTCTGCCCCACTGTCCATGAGATTTAACTCTTCAGGCATCATAATAGATACACCCTATTAACTAATGCAGGCCAGACAACACTGCCTTAATAAAACTGAAATGTCACTTTGGGTTTGAATTGATTTTCTTACCCGAGGACCTTTTAGGCTTGCAAATCAGAATTGCCTTGTATTCTCACAACCGAAGGAGGTCGACTTTCCCAGGGTTAGCTTAAAAATAATGCAGATTGATGGAAAAGGTTTGTGTTGGGTCAGTATGGAATGGCCTTCTCTTGGGGGCTTGAATTATTCATGAGCATCCATGTGTTTTGTGTTTCTTGCTTAACACTGTGGAAGGTGGGGGCAGGAGGAGAATGTAGCCAGCTGCAAACATAGATTCCTTCTAGAATGAGGTTAGCAGTGAGAGAAGGCTGGGGGTGGACAAGGGTGGAGCCTGGATCTAATTTTACAGGAATCCGAACCAATAAACCTTGAAACTAAGCAACTGGCCAACAGCTGAGGATATCCAAGTTTTATGTTATCTACGGTTCATTTCTGACAAGCTGTGTACTCTTTAAGCAAAGGCAAAAGAAAAAAAAAGCCATAAAACCAACTGCTATCTTCTGATTGTACATATAGCTATTTTGGGCTGCCTCTTATAATGACTTCGCAGTGGGCTGATTCCTGCTGATGTGCAACTGGTGTATGAATATAAGACTCAAAAGAGCTACGTTCCACCTCTGGCTTCTCTCCCTCTTGGATCTGTTGCTCTGTGTATGTCACCTAGCATTTCTGAGATGCTAAATTCTGATTCCGATTCTATACAATGAAGCTCTTCAGGCCTTTTCAAAGGTTTTCAAGTTTGGGGAGATACAGAGTACTTTTCTTCAAACAAAGCACTCCCTGCAAGCCATACGAGAAATACAGAAAATACCTAGGATTTGTAGGGAGGGATGCACAGGAAAGAAGATGCTGAACCTTTCACTTTCCCAGCTTGGTAGGATTGGTCTAGGTATTTCCCCTGATCCCATTCCCCCAAATATCAAGGATGGGAAGTCAAGGGAAAGGCAGAGTCCACTCTTCCTCCAATTTCCCTGTCAGCCATACTGCTTACAGCCCCTCATCCTTTCTCCCGTGGTTCACAAACTCTAGGTATTAATAAAATTCTTTAGCTGAAAATCTGGGAGTGGTCTTGTCTTCAAAGAAGACCCAGAGTCAACCACACTGGAAAGGCTCAATTTTCAGGTCCTGCCTCCTGACTTCAGAGGAATCCTGTGCATGTATACTATTTTTGAGGGCTGTTAGGGAAGGAGAGAATGAATAATGGTAAAAAAAATGAAGAGAAGAAAAGATTCTTGGGTTAATGCTATTGTGTTGGACCTGGAGGGCTCCGGCTAAAACTCATGTCTTAATTTGGAGGGAAAACCAGACACAGAGTTATAACAACATCTGAGGGCCTGAAGCACAGTTCCATCACCTGTATTTTCATTACCAGATAAATGCTTGTAAGGAACCAGTTAGTACCCATATAGCGAATAGTCACCTTATTATTGTAGAAATGTATTCTCGTGTCATGAAGGAGTTGTCCTTTGTCATCTGTGCCTTTATTTTGTTCTCAGTCCTGGACCATAAGAAAGCTATATATATTTTTTCCTGACAATAGGAAAATATGTCACCTTTTACCAGAATGCAAACTTCTTATAGCAAAATGGTCCAAGAAAAATATCCAGCGAAAACCCTGCTTTGGCCTCAAAAAATCTGTGACCTTAATGCTAAATGCAAAAAGGTGATTTTAAAGCTGAAAAAGAAATGTCTACAGTTCAATCCATTATTTTCTTGCTGTTAATTAAGACTATGAAGACAGTGACCTTAAAAGTGTAACATTCCTTTAAAAAGGGAAAGAAATAATGACTGCCCTCAAGATAGCCACTGAATGGACAAAATATGCATTGATTATGCATGCAATTACTCAAAAGTTTGTTTTTTTATAAAATTAAATTCTTTCCTGCTGAAGTCCAATGCTGAGTAATTAAATACAGACTGTACTTAATTTTGTCACAGAACAAATAGCAGAGGTTATGGAAAGTGTTATGGCTTCACAGTCATTAATATTCCACTGGGGTTGGCATAGATTAGCAAGCGAACAACACAGCAGGTTAGGATTGTAGGAATCTATTCAAACCCCACATAATGAATGTGAAGAGTGATTTGAATGTCTAATATCAGTCACTCAGCAGAAAGTGAAAAATTCTCATTTTCATTCCCAAGGCTTTGAAAGAGCTGTTTATTTTGTAAAACTTCCCTCACTTACTATTATAATCAGACCTCCTGAAATAAATTGCTAATAATTGTCAAGCTAATGAACTCAAGACTTTGTTTTGCTCTAGAAAATTTCTAGATTTCCCAAGCTGTCACAAGAATTCATATTCTGTAGCTCTTTCAAGGACAAGGATTCAGAGCAACCTACAGCCTGGGGGGAGTCAAATGTGTGTCCATTTTTGCACCTCCCTACACTCTCCTACTGGAACCCACAATCTTCCATCCCTCTTGAAATCAATAACCAGATGTGGTTACTTTCACTTTCTAGTGGAGATGATGGAGTACACAGCCATTTATGTGACTTTTTTACTGACTTTTTATTTTAGATAAAGACAATCCAAAGAAGGAATTACACACCAAGGAATGAAGAGAAATTTCCCAATTCAAAGACGGAAGAGCGGTGTCTATCTGGGACTCTGGATGGTGGGAGCAGGGAATTGAACAACAAAAGGTAGGGGAGAGACATAAGCCAGAAAACAGCAAATCTAATCATGACCTCTGGTGGAGAGGGGGATGTTATGGAATCAAAGGGCCATGGAAGGAGCTGCAACTATGTGTAGATCCTATAGCAGCTCTCCTGCATTGTCAGGAGATTGTCTCTCTAAGAATATGATGGCGCCCTAATTGCACAAAAATCAAACCAATTTGTTGGTAATTCACCCAAGAGTCTCTGATGGGCCTTGATGACTATCATCATTTTCTACTAGATCAAAGCGGTGACACTATCTTGGCATGTGAATAAGACAACAAGAAAAGCCAGAATATAGGTGACAAAGGTTTCTTTCAAAGCAAACATCATTTTTAATGTTTCCCAAACTGCCATCTTGGCATTACCAAGGAATACAAGTAAAAGCTTTGTCCTACATCTACAGGACTATGGCAACAAGTAGAGCTCATTATATGATGAAAATAGAAATACTAAATGCAATAATTTTAAGAGAGGAGATGAAGGGAAGGAAGAAAAAGCATTTTGAGTTTCCTGTAAGTCCAATCCACCTGAGGACACAAATGGGAACTGTTTTCTAATCCATATGTTACTGGCTCTCACTGCTTCCTGCTCATACAAAGAACTCGATTCCCTGTAAAGCCTCCTGTCTGCCACCAAGGGTCCCTAGCAGTTCCGAGAGAATATCTCCCACACGCTCAAGTATGTGTCCATCAGCATCCATGGAACATCCCAAGGGAATTCACATCTCTGCTGGGTGCCAGGCTACTGCCTTCCATTGAACACCACCAATGGCTGAGTCTGCTATACGCAACACATGCTGCCATGAGCCCTAAGAAATTTCTACCATCTCCTTCCACATGTTTCAGAATTCCATTGGAGGTAGCTGCAACTCCATCACCTCCCTCCCAGTACCACTCCACTGCATCAGACTTCCATGGTGCCCAAGCTGGGTAGTGGTCTAGAGGAAACTCTTGACCTTTATATTCTGATATGACCGTATTGACTTACTCTGACTTCCATATTTTTGGTGAAACACCATTGCCAGTTTTTATTTTGAATTTTTTTGTTCTTAGGATGAAAACAAGAGTCCTTCTCTGTGGCTAACCTGGACTCTGACTGACATGTTACTCCTCACTCAGCACTACAGCCCTCTGGTCCTCCCCTTCCAGCTCTACGGCTGTGCCCGACTCCCTCTTTCCTTGACCTAAGTTCTTTACTAGAAGAATCTCATGCAAACAGATACCTGATGCACCTGTCTCACAAGCCCAACCGACCTGCCCAGCCTGACTCAGAGGTACAGACAATGTAGACCCAGTCAGAGATCCTACTACAAATACTAAGAAAATCTCCCCACATCCATTTAGTATGTTTACCTTTAAAAGAATATGTTCACTTTATTTTCTCTTAATCCTGTTGCATTGAAAAATGGCACAGAGCTGAAATCACTGGAACATTCTTCTTTTAGAGACCTAGCCTCTTAGAATATCTGTGAACACCTGAGCAAATAGAATTGAGTGCCGAAGCAAGAACCAATCAGTAATCTTGGTCTTTCAAAATGCAGCTTAGAATCCGTTGTTAAATCATTTCCCTATTGATATTGAAGGATCTTTCTCTTTTTTTTCTGCAAGGTGGAAACACTAAAATCCTCGTCCAGTTAGGGCATGGAATGGGTGATAGCAAGGAGAGAAAACCTCTGAACGCCCAGACATATTGTTGTTATTCTATCACCACACTCATCACTTTGTATCATAATTTATTTCCCACTCATCTCTGTTCCCCACCAGCTCAAAACTCATGTCAATCTTGTTTGTACGGTATCCCCAGCACCTAGCCAACCCTGACATATAGGCTACCTACGGTCAATATTTTTGAATAAATGACTTTAATATCTTCTGAGGTTTGAGTTACAAGAAACTTACTTATTTTTGTTTTATTTTCATTTTCTCTCTACCCTCTTGCTTCTGGCTGAAACTTACAAAAAGTAGGTCTTGAATAAACAACTGATTGTTGAATTTTGTTTGATTTCTCTGGATAGGACACAAATTAGGAAGAAACAAGTGGTGCACTTTTCCATTGGATTGACAATATGAAGATATTCATATGCTTTACACAGGGAGCTACAATTCCTCAACAAGATACATTTTCAGAATCTGGGAACAAGAAGCTTGATTACTGTGGCTTCAATATTTATATTAACTATGAAATACAAAGTGGGTAAGTTTTGCCTTAATCAAAAAGATTGATAGTTTTTTTTTAATGTTTTATTTGTTTTTGAGAGAGACAGAAAGAGAGTGTGAGCATGGAGGGGCAGAGAGAGAGGGACTCACAGAATTGGAAGTAGGCTCCAGACTCCAAGCTGTCAGCACAGAGCCCCACATGGGGCTTGAACCTACAAACTGTGAGATCATGACCTGAGCCAAAGTCAGATACTTAGCTGACTGAGCCACCCAGGCGCCCCAAAGATTGATAGTTTCTGAGTGTGTTAAGCTAGGACCAGAGAGCTGCTCAACCTTCTATCTCCAAAATCAAAGAGAGATACTCATCTAATCACTGGGGTGCTTTCAGAGGGAAATGACTGATTAGGATAAAGCTATAAAATTCCTCAAGGAGGAAATGTCCTATCCACGGTGTGAGTCAGTCTCCAGGGTCCACTTCCTCTGCGTAGCCTGTGCAGAATAAGTAGGCCATCGATTCAGGTGTCACTCCACCATGATGCCCAGGAGCAGTGGTCGACCACTCCTCATCTTTGTGTGTTCAAAACTGTCATCCACGTTTAGCAACTCCTTGTGCCTTTCTGTACCTCCAATGTAAAACCTGATGCTACGTTCATCTCCGATGCCTCCATTTGCTCATGAAAGAATAGTACTTGCACTTAAATTCTCCCCCTCATGATCTAAATTTGTGACACTGCGTAAATCTGTCCTTGGAAAGTCTCTTCCTTTGCTTTATTGGTGAAATCTGGTTCTATACGTCTATGATTGCTTCCAATATTGAAATGAGTGGCCTATCAGAACTGCCTCAGCCAGTGTGTCCCCGTATCTGTCAAAACCACCATTTCATTTGTCTGGGTGAGTTCTGAATGAGAGATTTGAAATCTCTGGGCTGCAGATGCTGCAGATGAGAATGGACACCCCATGGGGACATCCATGACCCATGATTCAAGAGTTGGTCTAGAAATCCCCCAGCTTGCTTGTTCTTAGACTGGGCTAATTCTACACCTTGTATTCTACACCATCTTCCAGACTTTCAGAGTCAAATACGAATTGCCGATAGAGGCAGCTGGCTTACTAGGGCAGGGCACCCTTTCCTGTGTCACTACCCCTCTCTGCCCAGCCCGGATGGACTGCTTGTCCTGAAATCCCATCTTGGGGCTTGTGGGGAAATCTGAACTAAGATACACATAGATATCAAACGAAATTGAAAGTACTGTTTCAGGTATTTGAGTTGTTTCTTTATGTTTTCTCTCTTCTTTTAACATCCAGAGAACGGATGGGCCAAGTATCAACATCCTGGCAGGTGTCTGAATGAAGTGGATGTTATTACTTGGCTGCTTTCCCTGCAGAGTAAGGAGCTCAACGTGCCAGGTGCATAAAACTTTACAACCCAGTGACGTCTCACGCACCTAGCAAAGTGTTCTGTGTATATTCACATCATGGTGTGCTACACAATTCAGGAAACCCTCACAAAAGCCATGGTTTGGGATTAACACAGCAGAGGTAGCCCTGAGTTCCCAAATAGGTGGGAAGAAACACAAAGCCAAGGGAAATGTCCTGAAGTTAAAGATAATGAAAGAAAGCATCCTTTAATTTTGTGAAAATAACAATCCCAGGACCTGAAGCATAATTAGTTTCTAATTTATGCCTATATAAAGGATACATTTAGTTCAAATGGTAAGATCTTCATTGTCCAATATGGTACCAAACAAATACTAGCCACCCGTAGAGTCTGAGCACTTGTAACTGGTTTGAATAGAGATGAACTGCAGCTAAATACACATCTGGTTTTAGGGGCGCCTGGGTGGCTCAGTCAGTTAAGCGTCCAACTTCAGCTCAGGTCATGATCTCATGGTTTGTGGGTTAGAGCCCTGCATCAGTCTCTGTGCTGACTGCTCGGAACCTGGAGCCTGCTTCCAATTCTGTGTCTCCTTTTCACTCTGCCCCTCTCCCACTCATGCTCTGTCTCTTTCTCTCAAAAATAAATAAAAACATTAACTTTTTTTAAAAAAATACTGGTTTTAAGGATTTCATATAATAATAATTTTTAAAAAGTAAGAGATCTCCATTAGTGACTTTTACATTGATTACATGACCAAAGATAGCATTTGGGAAATGTTGGGGTAAATAAAATATATTATTATAGTTGATTTAACCTATTTACTTTTACTTTTGAACGTGGTTACTAAGTAACTTAGATTTACTTATGTGGCTCACATTCTATTTCTATTATACGATGATGGTCCAAATTATACTGTGATAACTGAAAAACTCTGAATTACTGTATATAGCAAATAATATAGAATGGTCATTGATAATGGATAAACTCTGAATTCTTGGTAGTAGATTATATAGAATGGTCACTTTTTTAGTGTTTGTTTATTTTGAGAGAGAGAGTGCAAGCCGGGGAGGGGTAGAGAGAGAGAGAGAATCCCAAGCAGGACCTAGGCTATTAGACAGATTACCATTTTGATCACAGACATCAAAATGAAATTTTCTGTTGTGTCCAGAAGGGAGAGGGCACACTGGGGGATCTTGCCCCAGCACAAAATGTTTTGGAGCAGAAGGGACATGCCTCACTCCATTCATATCCTGCTGTCAGAGCTTGTCACAGGACTCCAAGTGCAAAGGAGATCAGAGAAATGTCACTCTCCAATGCACCAGAAAAGGAGTTTGAGTGGTTATGAATGAGTACCCGGGATGTCTCCCACAATGCATATATATAGCCTGGTGATGTCTAAATTTCCAACATTGTTCACTCCAATCTAGAGTATAGCATGTAAATGGCAAGACGGAAGATGTCATCAGTGGTTTACACCTTGAAAAGCATGACTTGTTATATTGCCAGGGGGCCTGTACTCCCAGGTGAGCAAAAGAACCCAAGACAGAAGACTTGGGCACAGAGCTGATGCATTGGAAGCACAGAAAACAAGCCTGCCTTACTGCCCAGTTTCTTCTAGTGGTGTCCTGTGCTTCGTCGATGTGTATCTCAGGTGAATAAAGTGAGATCGCGTGTCGCCTAATGAAGGCCAGACAGCAGCTCCAAAAGAACTCACAGGATGGACTCAGCACACTCTAAAATCTCATGATTAGGGAGACTTTGTTGGAACACCAAGAGCGGTTCTGTCTCTCAGGAACAAGGTCATATGGAGACAGAATTCCAACATATTAATTTTAGACGGAAAAGACTGCCATTCTCTGATAAGACACACACATTCATTCTCTTATTACAAAGAGAAACTATGAAATGGAAAATCATTGTTACTTGGTAAATAGGAAACTCAAGGAAGGAATATCAGCTTATATCAACAACTGTCTCTCAAGGAAGGAAGCTGGAGGAATCCCCACATTTTGTTGGAATAATGTGTTGGAAAAGAGCATGACGCAGACATCTCCTTGGCCAAGGCCGGCTACTTGTTGGCTACACGATGCTGCCCACCACCTGGTATAGTATGGTATATATGCTTATAGTATGCTCTTGGGACCGTGCGGTCTGTTTTCCATGACCTTTCTCCAAGCAAAGGAAGCACAAGGAATGGGATTTCAGATGACTGGGTTGCATTTGCCTCCATCCCACACTCCATGACTTCCTGAGAGCCTTAATTACAGTTTTAGATGTTGCCGCATCCTACGGCACATATGCACACACGGGACTGAGCAACTCCTCACTTAGCAGGTGCACACTTTTGCGAACATAACTCTCAGACGGCTCTCACATTCTTACAGTTATTCAGTCTCAGGAATACCTCTTCATGGCCCCCGTGAAATGAAACGCTGTCTTGGTTTGGATTGGTGCAGTGACTTTATTTTCTGTGGCAAATTACATTGCATTGGGCATAAACTTTTGATCCTCCAACTGGAAAAGGAAAATTGAAAATTAGTCTCAATAAAATTCTAGGTGATATGAAAGATCTAATCAAGCCAATGACCAGCCTTTTACTTTAATAATAATAATAATAATAATTAAAGATGGCTTTAACTTTCAAGTCTGTTATTCAAATGCTAATTCATTTTCACAGAGTATAGAACAAATTTGTCAAATGTTTCACCAGATACATCTGTCATTCATACATCGATAAGCATTTAAAAAAAAAAAAAAAAACAGGGGAACCTGGGTGGCTCAGTTGGGTGAGCATCTAGCTCTTGATTTCAGTTCAGGTCATGATCCCAGGGTCTTGGGATCAAGCCCTATGTCAGGCTCTGTCCTGAGCATGGAGACTGCTTAAGATTCTCTCCCTTTCTCTCTCTCTCTCTTTCTCTTTGCTCCACTGCCCCACTCATGCTCTCTCTCTCAAACTAAAGAAAAGGAGGGGGGCGCCTGGGTGGCTCACTCGGTTGAGCATCTGACTTTGGCTCAGGTCATGATCTCGCGGTTTGTGGGTTCAAGCCCCACGGAAGGCTCTGTGCTGACAGCTCAGAGCCTGGAGCCTGTCTTCAGATTCTGTGTCTCCCTCTCTCTCTGACCCTTTCCTGCTCACGCTGTCTCTCTCTCTCTCTCTCTCTCTCTCTCTCTCTCAAAAATAAATACAAAACATTAAAAAATAAAAATAAAATTTTTTAAAAAGCAAAGAAAAAAGAAAAAATTTAAATTAAAAAATTAAAAACACATATGTATGGAGATAAATCTGCTTCGAAGGAGAAGCTTTCCACATGATGCTGAGAGCAGGTCGGCATAATCCACCACTGCTTTGGCTCTGGGTATGTTTGGAAAGACAGCTACCAAGACAAGTAGGGTCAACACAATTTATGTTTATAAGTAAAACAGATGGTTAATTATACTGCATGGTTCCAAAAATGACAGATAGCCTCCCTAAAACCCCATACAACCTTTGGCTGAAGTACAACCATACCTGAGATTCCATTCTTTTAATATTTGTGGAAGATTACAGTCAAAGGTATCTTAGGGGTCTACTTTCACTTCAACTTTTTGAGTTAAACATTGCCCTTTACAGGCTTTCCAGTTCAAAAATGCAGATGATACCAAAACCGGTAGCAAATCAAGAAAAGTGCACTCTGATATCAATCAATGAACACTTAGGTCTAGAAAATTTAAGCTGCATGAAGAGAGTAATGCCTCAGGAAAGAGAGCAGATACAATCCAGCAGGGGAAATTAGAACAGCAATGAGTCATGAAAAGGAGTTGGATAGGCTTTACAATTTTATTCAGTGTTTGTCCTATGCAAAATATAACTACAAATAAGTTTTAAGACTCTTAAGAGAGAAGTTATACTTTTATACTTCTTTATGTTCCCTCTGTCTCTCATAGTATGCTATAAAGATTGGAGCGATTCAATAAAGATTTATTCATTCAATAATTACCACTTTTTTTACCACTTTTTTTTTATAGTGGCAGCTATCTGCCAGTTGCTAAACCAGGCTATAAATGTATATCACAAAAAGAAAGATTTTCTGCCTTCAAAGAGTTTATGGTCTATGTGAGATTTTCAAACAATAAAACATGGCATTAGAATTCAATATAAATACAAGAGCAAAATATGAAAATCAACTACATTTCTATATGCTATCGATAAATAATCTAAAAATAAAATAAATTAAAAATTTTTGTTTACAATATTATAAAAAATAATAAAATACTTGGGAGTAAATTTATCCAAAGCAGTGTAAGATCTATACTCTGAAAATTGTAAAACATTGTTGGAAGAAGTTAAAGATCCAAATAAACAGAAAGATACCTCATGAATCAAATAACTTAACATTGTCAAGATGGCAATACTATTCAGATGTGTTTACAGAGTCACCCTAATCCCTATCACAGATGGCTTCTTTGCAGAAATGAAAAAACTGGGGCACCTGGGTGTCTCAGTTGGCTAAGTGGCCAATTTCAGCTCAGGTCAAGATCTCGCGGTTCATGGTTTGGAGTCTCACATCAGGCTCTGTGCTGACAGCTCAGAGCCTGGAGCCTGCTTCAGATTCTGCGTCTCCCTCTCTCTGCACCTCTCCCATTCGCTTTCTTTCTCTCTCTCTCAAAAATTAATGAACAGTTATTTTAAGAAATTAAAAAAAAGAAAGAAAGAAATTGAAAGACTATCCTAAAACTCATCTGGAAATGTAAAGTATACAAAATAGCCAAAACAATCTTGAAAAAGACAAACAGTGGTACCTGGGTGGCTCAGTCGGGTGAGCGTCCAGCTGATGCTCAGGTCATGATCTTGCAGTTGACAAATTCGATCCCCATGTCTGACCGCGTGCTGACAGCTCAGAGCCTGGAGCCTGCTATGGATTCTGTTTCTCTCTCTCTCTCTCCCCTGCTTACGCTCTGTCTCTCTCTATTACAAAAATAAAATAAACATTAAAAAAAACTTATAGAAAAAAATGAAATGAAATGAAATAAAATAAAATAAGAAAATAAAATAAGAAAAAGACAAAGAAAGTTGGAAAACTCAAAACTTCCTGATTCAGAAGTTGCTACAAAGCCACAGGAATCAAGCAAGCCTTGTGCTGGCATAAGATAGACACAGAGATCAAAGCAACAGAATTGAGAGTCTAGAAATAAAACCTCCCAATTATAGTCCATTTCTTTTTGACCCTTTCAGCATTTAAGGGGGTAAAGCACAGTTGTTTCACAAATGGTGCTGAGACAGCTAGATATCCATATGCAAAAGAATGGTGTTGAACCCCTAACTCACACCCTATAGAAAAATTAATACAAAATGGATCATAGAGGGGCACCTGGGTCGCTCAGTTGGTTAAGCATCCAGCTCTTGATTTTGGCTCAGGTTATAATCCTGTGGTCAGGGGATTAGAGCCTTTCAGGCTCTGTGCTGAGCATGGAGCCGCCTGCTTGGGATTCTCTCTTCCTCTGCCCCTCCCACCTTCATGCTCTCTCTCTCAA